TCTTTTGTGCGTATGTGTGTGTCTCTCTCTCTTCAAGAACTTGATATTATAAGAGTTTCAAATTAATTTTCTACCTTGACTGGTGTGGCTGGGCCGATGAGGTGTTTGGACCCTGATTTTGTGCCCATGTAAAATACGTACAAGGTACCAACAATTCCTGTGGGAAAAAGCAAGGGTCATGCAGGTCATGCAGTGGTGGCAGGTCATGTCATGATGCATTATTCTTCATCCGGGCACCTGGGGGCACTACACCTCCACACTCCCCGGGTTTCCATGTGGCCACGAAACAAAGAAAGGGCCCTTCAGTCGGGCCGAACAACATCCAAGTCGTGGACTCGTTCTTCGGGGTCGGGCATCGTTACCCGTCAGTATTTTACCTGTTGGATGAATCTTGACTACTAACTAGCCACCTTCATTATTCCCCATCTACGACAAGCCCTAGCTTGCAGGGCCGAGAAAAAGACATGGATGGCATTTGGGTATGTCTCTGACTCGATCAGACGAGCCCCCAGTTACAGCATGGGCAGGGGTAACGACACAACAAAGACAGGTGCTGCTTAACGTGGGCAAGGCCGGTCGACCAGCAGCGACGTCTTCATGAAATGACACTCATGTTTCCACAGACGCTAGCCAGCAGTCCTCTCTTTGAACCTTGTTCGTGGTCGTCCAGTTCAACCAAGCGAAACGAACCAAATGTCTCTGCACCTCCCAACATTACCGGGAGGAAAAGATACTGATACAACAGTGGGAAGACACTATCAACGATGGCCTTGTCCGAGTGGCCAACTTCTTAGGTGGCTAGGTTGAAGTGTCACACTGGAATCATACCAAGACAGACAGACGCATAGATCCGACTTCGACATGACCAAGATGAGCGTCAAGTTGGCCAGACCTGAGAACACCATCGCGCCAATGCCTAGAGTCAGCAATGGAGAGGGCATCACATCGCATCGACCACCACGACTAAGTTGCCAGCAAATACCACCCCGCGATGTCTGGTGGGCTCCATCCCTCGCCTAGGGAGGCGCCTAGGCATACCGACATTCTTGTATGTCACAGCTAATACCCTCTCTTCTATTTGCGGGGCGGCCCCAGCCGGGGTTGCACCTGTACCTTGGCGGCTCGACTGATCTGCTTGCTGTTCGTTTACAAATACAGGCTGGTTGAGTGGAACCCCATCGTGAGAGGGGCTGTACCAAAGGCAAGAGTGTTTGTATACCGACTGCTTTCGTTCGGGCTCGGCGTCAGTGTGCCGGGTGGGTGCCTCGGGTCATCGGCAACCTATGCTCGAGGGAGTACTGGGTACAGCAGGTACTACTGCAGTCAAGGTGAGGGGTCGTTTTGTCGGCATTCCACGATGCTAATAACGAGGTCCAATGGAGGAACCTGCCACGGCACCCTGAAAGTCTGTCGACAGGAACGTGCTCCAGTTTTCCAGCTCGAGGTCGAACAGTGTGCCCATATCGTCCTAAGACAGATCAGGAGCATCAGTAAACATCCAAGCAATCGCCGAGATGACAACCCTAACCAAACCCCACACATGCGCGCGGACACGAGAGAAGGAATACTTACCATGGTCTGATCATTCAACGGCTGGTCTTCAATAGCCAGGTATTGGCCCGGCACAGCCTCGTTCTCCGACAGCTTTTGCGGCAGATAGGTCAAGTCCTGGTCGTAGCCACCACTGACAGTACTGCTTGGGTGTAGCCTGTGTGCTCTTTCCGTGGCTTCGCGGGCGAGCGTGGCGATCTCGCGTGCAAAGCTGATGGAGATTTCAGACGCCGTCGCGAATTTCACCCGTGCAAAGTATCCCGCACCGACCTCCATCAGCGCGAGATCTGACTGGATGCCGTATCGGTTGGGGTTTTGCAGGATGTAGATGAAAAGATTGATCAACGCATACATGGGTCCGAAAAAGCTCAATCTAGATGCGTCAGTGAGTGTCGAAGTGAAAAACCGGCGAGATACTCACGGAACGGGCGTGCTTGCATCAAATCGTATGTGTTCGGTCGCCAGGATCGCCTGGCGACACGTCTCGGCCACAATCTGGGTTGATGTCTCGAGCTGGTCCCGCAACGCAGCATCAGGTGTCATACCACAGATACTCCGACTCCAGGGATAGGTCAAAGCGGTGTGAATATCGAGAGTGATGCTCTGGAGAGCGCCACGGAGATACATGACCTGCTGCATCGTCATTCCCGGTGGTAAATGGCTCGGACTGGGAGAACTGGGCCGACATATGACCGGGTCGATGGTGCGCTTCAACATGTTGAGCTGCTCGTCCAGCTCTGCGACGGATCTCACCAACGCCGCGCCGCCCTGCTGAAAGGCCTGAACTGTCGACAGTCGTTTAGAGACCACAGACGAAAGTCGCGCCAGCCGGATCAATGTATTGCAGTACTCGATGTTGACAGAGCTGTCGGGAGGGGCGGACGTTGGTACTTGACAGCTGACGTCGTCGTCGTCGATCAGCTCAGACAAGGTCAGCATCACCGTTCCACTCTGACACCCTTTGCTCAAGGTTAGACCTACCGAATGGCGTCCGGATTGACACACAATCTGCTTCTCCAAGCAATATATGGCCCAGAACAAACAACTCCTCAGCGAATTTTCATATTCGGTCAGATTCCACGAGGCGACAGCTTGTCGATGCAGTCCTTTGGCGATCCCAAGTCGTACCGCGATACCGCAGAGCACGTATTCAAGACACGGACAGGCGATATTTTGGGTAAAGTAGGCCTGGTGTGGGTTCGTCAGCTCGTGATACATTGCTCTCCGATCGCCGTCCTTACCATCAGCGTCAGAGCTTGCACACCGACAATCGACGTTCGGAAATACAACATTTCGGTCTGCACCGACAGCGCATTTTCAAAATAACCCCACGCCGACTGGTTGGCCTCTTGGAAGGTGCTGGTTTTGGAGAGCTCGATTCGACATCCCGAAGCGTAGACTGCGTTGCGGAGCGCATACCAGGTGGGATCGGTATCTGTCACGGCTCCGTCGAAATATGCCCTAAGCTGCGCCTCAAACCAAGGGCGGTGCACGATGCCGAGAGAAGATTCGAGGGCCTCGTCAAAGAATGCTAGAAAAGGGTCAGACCTGGTGACACTACAGATGATCACGGCCGTTCGGAGTCGTTACCTCGAGTATACCTCCAGGCAATCTCTTGATCTGGCTCGGGCTTTCGTTCCTTGGACAGGTTCTTCTCGATTTTCAGCCGGCGGGTGATGTAGGTTGTAAATGTCCTGGCTGTGTCGTCGAAAATCGAGCTGCCTGTCTTGCTAGCGACCCATTGCATTCCGGGTCTCGAACAAATAGACAAGAATGATCTGGGGCCTATGATGAAACTACTGAGCACCCGTGCAAGAGGTGTGTGAGGAGTTGGGACATACCATGATATTCCCAGTTTGACTTTGGAAAGTCTCTGTCAGCCGATCCGAATACAAAGTTCTCAGAGAACACCTACCGTCTCACTCGACGAGATACTGCTCCTCTCTCGGATCTGTTCAGGGCTGTTCTCTGCAAGGGTCGCGGGGGCGGCGCTGTCGGAGGGGGTCGGCTGGTACCCTGAACTCCACTCTAGCGTTGAGGTGTTGTCTGCAAAGGCGGGAGGTTTGGGGGGTATCAAGGCTATCGAATTCATACTTGCCGGAGGGTTATGCGTCTTGTACGGCTGAGCCAACGGAAAGCATGACGAGCTCTGAGTCTCGACCCCGTCGGTCGTCAGCGAAGAGGACGAGGGTGCAGGGAGCACTGAGCTCAAGGGATCTCGGTCATCTCTCCCCGTAAATCTAGACGAGTCACTGTCTAAAGCAGCTGGGGAAGTCTGCGCCGGGATGTGATTTGTAGTAGAGGTAGGCTGAGCTAGATTAGGGGCGACTCTGGCGACAAAGGGGTCCGTAGACGGGCTGACGACCTACAGCATAAGCCTGTTGCTTGAGAAGCGCCTCCAGCTGCTCCAGCCTCTCTACTAGATCTTTGTTGTCCCTGCCTCCGTCCCTGGATCGCCATCGACGAGGTGTTGTCGAGGTACAGTGCTGGCCGCGATCGAGACAGTTTGTACAAGGGCCACCACCGTCCCCATTGCCTTGAAGCGGGTTATAAGCATGTGACTCTCAGCCCGTAGCGGAGAAGGGGAGGGACATACACCGAATCTTCTTGGCTCTGCAATAATTGCAGGCCACAACACGTTTCGGCCTCACATTGTCATTCCGTTGCGGTCGAGGAGCGGGAGAAGAGAGCGGCAGTGGCTCAGTGGACATGATGGACGCCATCTGGACTGACTGGTACATCCTGAGTTCAAGTCAATTACTCCATACACAGGCCAAAGCGGCGATTTTCAAGGTTGGAGCTGTTGTAGGAGACGAGCATGGAGGCGGGGAAAAGGTGGATTGGCGGGGGACAATGAGATGATTTGCCACTCACGGCATGTGATATCAATCATTGTGATTGAATAGACCCTGAGCCTCAGGGCGTCAATCGCCTTCCCAATGGTCAGCTTGCCAGCCTGCCGAGGAATTCGCGACTCCACCTCTTGTCGTCTCTGGCCAGCCAAAAGTTGCCGTCCGAATTCGCCGAACAAAATGGGTATAACGTTAGCGAGGCGTCGAACGACACCAAGAGTAGGTGGAGGGGTGGATCTGGAAGAACTTGACGCATGACAGGAGAACCGAGCCATCGATGGCTGTGGCCGTGGATCCGAAAATGTTGGTAGAGCGAGCGAGGAAAGGGGACGTTTTTTTTGAGATTCAAGTACCTTCATCGTAACCAGTAGTCAAACACTAGGTATACTTGGTTCTAAGAAGATGATCAGTAACGGACAGACAAACCATAGCCATCACGGCGAAAGGCCAGCTCAGGAGTGTCATGTCTTACCAAAAGGCACCGTGCTTATAGCGGGCGGTGGTCCTGTCGGGTTGATTCTGGCCAAAGTCCTATCACATTATGGCACCAGATCCGTGCTCTTTGAGAGGAATCAGACGACGACCCGTTGGCCCAAGATGGATTTGACCAATGCCCGTTCCATGGAGCTGTTTCGCAAGTTGGGGCTCGCCGACGACCTACGACGGCAGGGAGTGCCAGCACACATCGACCAGCCAGTCTTGGTATCGTCGGGTCTTTCTGCAAAGGAGGCCATCACCGGCTGGGATCTCCCGAGTGTCGACAGGTTCCGAAAGCAGATTCAAGAGAATAACGACGGTACTAAGCCCTTGGAACCCTGGCAGCGGCTGTCGCAGGCAATCTTTGAGAAGTGGCTGAAGGCCATTTGCGACAAGGATCCTTTGATCGATCTGCGGTTTGGCCATAAAGTCGAATCGGTACAGGAGGAATCTGACCATGTCAAAACTATCGTCACGGCCGTGGATTCGGGGGTTTCTTACCAATTTGTCTCGGATTATGTCGCTGGCTGTGATGGTGCAAACAGCAGAGTGCGAAAGTCGCTTGAGCTTCCCTTGGACGGCGGTCCAGTGTAAGTTTTTTTTCTATGGGAAACCATCTAATCTCCTCTTTACTGAATTCTTTGCAGCCCAACGTGCGTCCTTCTCGTCCACTTCAAGTCTCGCGACCTCACTCGGATACACAAGCAAGGTCAATTCTGGCACATCTTTCTCCTGGCCGAACACGGCGGCTTTGGTGGTGCCATCATCGCCCAAGATGAAGTCGACACCTGGACCACCCATCTATTCTTACCCCTGGATGCCGAACCGGAAAAGATCGAGTCGCGAGAGGCTGTGTATCGAGTTCTGGGTGGAATCTATGGCGCGTATCCGATTGAAATCGACGAGATTCTAGTCCGCTCCATCTGGCGACCCAACATCGCCGTGACACGGCGCTGGAGCAGCCCCAACTATCGTATCCACCTTGCCGGTGATGCGGCACACCAGAATATCCCCACTGGAGGCTACGGGATGAATATGGGCATTGCTGACGCTTTCGACCTGGGCTGGAAACTTGCAGCCGTCATCAACAATTCCGGGGGACACGACCTGCTCGAGTCCTACGAGGTGGAGCGAAGACCCGTGGCCCTTCGCAATGTCGAGCGATCTGGCGTTCATTTCCAAGTCCACGACAATCTCCGAGAAATCCTAGCGGGTTACGATCCTCGCGTTGTGGATGAGGACACAGAGGCCGGGCGTCAACTACGGAGCAAGATTCACGAGCACTACCAAGCTCACGATGGCGAGAACCAGGACTTTGGCATTGAACTGGGTTACCGCTACCAATCACCCGTCATCATTCACGACGAGGGCAGAGAACCCGAGCCTGAATGGGTACCGTCCAAGTATATCCCGACGACCTGGCCAGGTGGTCGGCCGCCACACGTCTTCCTCTCTGACGGCACCCCGATATTTGACAAGTTTGGCCGAGATTGGACGCTGCTCAGCTTTTCGAGCGAACCCTGTGGCGAAGATTTTCTAGAAGAGGCAGCCCAAGCTCTATCGGTGCCCTTGAAGCGAGTGTCTCTTGACGGCGAGGACTTGGCCAAGAGACTATATGAGAAGCGTCTCGTGTTGATCCGACCAGACCAGCACGTCGCATGGAGAGGGGACAAGATAGGCAGCGCAGATGAGGCAACGAAAGTGCTGCAGATCGTTACGGGCAAGGTTCATTCTCGGAGAGCGCAAGAGCCAGAAGCTGTTGGCACGGCACCCAAAGCTGCATTCACGGCGACCAACGAGCTGACTACCCAGGTCAATGATTTCAAGTTGGAGAGGATGGGCGCTTTTCAGATGTAGAGTAGAGGGATCTATCTATACAATGTGTTTCCTCAATTCATCGGTTCGAACATATCGAGATACACTTCATAGAATGTGTCTCTACGGCTCATATGCGACCATTCTGGCAATACACCCGCCAACCACCTGTCCAGGCCTCGATTACACGAGCGTAATGACATAGTAAGCACCCCCCTCTCGGTGTCTAGTAGTCGGAGAACTCAAAAGACGCCATGATCTGCCCTCATCTGCCCCCTCCCATCTGCTGGAGAGTCACGATTGGTTCTAGCTCCTCCTTGGTCTCACCGACATGTAACCACAAGGTCTAGTGCTAGGTATATCACCGCCGTCGGCACCGTACGCCCGGCCACGAATAGTCGGAGTGACGGTCGACGAGCCCGAAACAACCTGAAATATCCCTCCTCGACGCAGATCCATACTCCCCAGGATCCACCTCCACAACCCCAGGGGAGGTAACAAACAAGCACACTAGGGACTAGGGGCATAGGAGTATCCAATCTGCTAGGCCTGATTGGTGCGACAGACTACCAGGTATACCCTCCCAATCCCTCACAGGAGGCATGGGAGGCATGTCCGGGTGCGTGCCGATGAATGCTATAAGTGATCCTTCCTCCATTGTACCTTTTTCACCTGTGCCAAACCACCATTTGCTGGGACGACTTTTCAACTGCTTCGAGGTTTGAGATTCTTTTGACCAAGTCCTCCTCAAGCTCAAGTACTTAGCGGCCAGTGACCATGGAATCACCCAACGTTCTTGCAAAATACATCGGCGTCCCCATCGTGCTGGGACTGGTCTTCATCCTGTGGAAACTGTCCCAGGTGGGCAAGAGACCCAAGGACCTCCCACCAGGACCACCGACTCTGCCCATTCTTGGGAACCTTCACCAGGTATGTTGGCACACACATCTTCATCACATACGGATGCATGGCGAATACTAAATGTGTCGGGGCAGATTCCTTCGGAGAAGGCATATCTGCAGTTTCAGAAATGGGCTGAAGAATATGGGTATGGAATGCATCCCCAAGCTGTCATATATGTTCGGCTAGTAACATGGAGAAAAGACCCGTCTACTCGCTGATGCTGGGGACCAAGCCGACTGTTGTCCTGTCGTCCGATGTGGCCATCAAAGAACTCCTGGACAAACGTGGCGGGATTTACTCTGACCGGCCCGACATGTACGTCAGTCAAGACGTGGCCAGCGGAGGCCATCGACTCGTGGTTATGGTGAGTGACACTTCCTAGGGAGTTTGTCGTTGCAACAGTGTGCTAAAGCGGCTCTTCATCCAAGAAATACGGCGAGAGATGGCGAACCATCCACCGCCTGATCCACAACATCCTCAACATCAAGGTCGCCGCAAAGTACATTCCCTACCAGGACCTGGAGAACAAGGTGCTCCTGAAAGGCCTCTTGGACTCGCCCGGGGCGGACGACCTGTTCCAACATCTCCGGAGGTTCGCCTACTCGCTATCGACGCAGATGATCTTTGGGTATCGCTGTCCCGATTTTCGGGACAAGAGACTGAACCAGCTTTTCGACGTATGTTCCTCCTATAGACTCTTAGCAATTCCTCTCTCTCTCTCTCTATGGTTTGTTGATCACTGCTAACCCTGCACCGTGCCGGTGGCGTAGGTTTTCAACGGATGGAGCGAAGTCTCGGAGAGCGCATCCTCCCAACTGGCCGACCTCTACCCGATTCTCCAGAAACTGCCCAACTTTATGCTCCCCAGCATCCGCAAGGGGAAGCACGTCCACCAGGTCGGGCGGGAACTGTACACCGAACACTGGCTGAAGGCCAAGGAACATCTCAAAGACGGAACTGGCTTGGTGAGTTCTGTCGCAGTAGAAGCTACCACAATACATTTGTGACAACCGTGTTGCTATTTATATCTGGGTAGGCTATTAGAAAGCTAACTTGGAGCCAAACACAGCCATGTATCTGCAACGACCTCCTCCTGGCGCAAAAGAGCGAGAACCTCTCCGACGAAGCGGTCGGGTACATCGTGGGATCCCTCCTCGAGGGCGGCTCCGACACGACATCCTCGACCATGTATGGGTTCGTCCAAGCCATGATGGTCTTCCAAGACGTGCAGAAGAAAGCCCAGGAGGAGATCGACCGGGTCGTCGGCTCAGATCGGCTACCTACCGTCGACGACTACCCCAATTTGCCCTACATCCGGTGCTGTGTCAAGGAGACGCTGCGCTGGATGCCCACGGTGATCATGGGGGTGCCGCACTGCGTGACCAAGGACGACGAGTACAATGGGTGGAAGATCCCCAAGGGCACGACCGTCATCAATAACGTTTGGTACGACTCCCTCCCAAACAAAAACAGACCTTACTCTCGTCCTCTGGTTTTCACTCCCCTTTTATACTAACGAGTAAACTCTTCGTCATCTAGGGGCATCCACATGGACCCGAAGCGCTCACCGGAACCCCGACAATTCAACCCGGACCGATACGCGGGGGACACGACGACGCTGTACGAATCCGCCAATGGCGAGCCCCTCAAGCGCGACAATTTCAACTTCGGCGCCGGCCGCCGCCTGTGCCAGGGCGTGCACATCGCCGAGCGCTCGCTGTACCTAGGCATGTCGCGGATCCTGTGGGGGTTCTACCTCCGCAAGGCGCTCGACAGTGCAGGGAACCCGATCACGCCGGACATCAACGACCTGGTCGGGGGCATCACGGTGAATCCGCGCCCTTACCCGATCGACATCGTGCCCAGGAGCCCCGAGCGGACGGCCATCATTCGACAGGCGGTCAAGGAGGCCGAGGAGCTGCTGAATCCCGTGACGGGCCAGTGGAAGAAGGTGCCCGAGGGGATGGTGTTTGGGGCGTGGAAGCCGAATGAGAAGAAATGAGAGAGAGAGAGAGGAGATGGAGATGGAGAGAGGTATGTCAGCGTCAGTTTCAGCCTTGGATATGGCTTTAGTTCCAGGTCTTGCTCTTGATTTGGTTGCGGTTGGTATTGGTATTTGAGACGAATTACCTCAGTCATACATGATAGATGTCCATCATTTTTTCCGATTAGGCAAGTATGCTCTGCCATGCTATGCTTTGCTCTCCCTCAGCCTTAGGAAGCTAGCCTCGCTTTTCACTTCAAAGTCCTCGCAACGCTCTAAGTAGATCCTTAGTTAGCCAAGATCCCCTACCTCCGTCTGGTCCTGTCCGGCCCTCTTGAGAAATCTATTCGAGGAGCGAAAAGGGGGAAAGAAACTCACGGCATAGACCTGCATCAGCGCCACGCGCGGCTCCCCATTCACGTCCTCCAGGACGACATGGGCACCGAAGTCGGTCTCGACGACCTTTCCGGTCGCAAAGTCCATCTTGGCGACGCCCAGCAGGACCAGGTCGCGGCCCTGCTTGTCGTTGACGAAGACGTGGGTGATGCGGTGGTTGCGCGCCGTGATGTCGCCCCAGGCGTTGTCTCTGCAGCGGGTGATTTCTGTCATTCACACTTGGTAAGTACACCCACATGTACAGGTATGTATATAAACCTAGATGGCTGGGTATTTTAGGTCATGGTCAAGGGTTGGTAGGTATTGTACCTTCTCTCCCACTAAACCCGGCGTGGCTGGCCACGAATTTCCCCGTCGACGTAAACACCTCGTTGGCCATGCGTGGGCCGGCCTCAGGGCCCGTGTTGTCGGCCAATTCGTAAAAGAGGGTGATGAGGGCCTTGACCTTGTCGTCCAACGCGAGGGCCGAGGGCCAGACGGTTTCTTTTGTAACATACGACATTGCACTATCTTAGGTAGATGGGTATGTATGTATGTTTGTATGTATGGGATATATTGTCAGGGTGAAAAGTGTGTACCCAGGTACGTTGATGTCGATACAGGTAGATGTAGATGTAGATGTAGGTGTGATGTGATGTGATATCGATACTTTTTTCACACCCGATCCCTCTTCCACTCTTCCACGGATATTAGTCATTCACATGTACCGGGTTTAGGTGTCCTAGTCTACTCATTAGCCATGTACATGTATGAAGCGGCATGCTTGCCAACTTGGTTGCTTGTTCCTCGGAATGACGGACAAATTCGTTCGGACTGAGTTGGCCGAGAATTTCTCCTCGTCCCCGCCTCTTCCTGCGTCAACCTCAACCCCCCAAGCTTCGTTCGGGCCGGGTTACGAGACGCGATGAGGTGGGATGACGATGATGATGATGATGCCGCCGCCTAAGAAATTATGCAGAGGCGGAGAAACTGTCGTGACTTGTGTGACACCAGACAGGTGAGTGTCGGCCTTATGCTTACTTGACGTTTTGACCGGGCAAATAGGGATTAGAACCGTTCGTATATCAACCACCCCCTCTTTTTTCACCACCACTACCACCAACACATACAAGAATTCCCTCTCCATAAAGGAAAAAAAACCAAGTAGAAGAAGCAGACCCCTTCCACAAAGTGACCAAGCGAACCAAGTGAATCACTCAACTCAACATGGGCTCCATCTCGACCAACTTCTCCGACAAAGGGACCAAGGTTCTCTCCCCCTCGACGCTCGCGCACGTGGTGCTGCGCACAAACAACTTCTCCGCCATGAGGGATTTCTACACGACCTTCCTCGGCGGGACGATCACGTACGGCAACGACTTCATCTCCTTCATCACGTACGACGAGGAACACCACCGGATCGCACTGATCGGGATCCCGGACACGGCGCCCAAGGCACCCACGACGTGCGGGCTGGAACACATCGCATTCACGTTCCCGACCCTGTCGGCATTGCTCCTCGCGTACCGACAGCGCCTGGCCAGGGGGATCAAGCCGGTATGGAGCGTCAACCACGGCCCCACCACGTCCATCTACTACAAAGACCCCGACGGGAACATGCTCGAGACGCAGGTCGACAACTTCGACACGGTCGACGCGGCCAACGAGTTCATGAACAGCAAGTATTTCGCCGAGAACCCCATCGGGACCGACTTCGACCCGGAGGAACTCATCCGCAAGATCGAGGGTGGCTTCGCCGACGAGGCCGAGTTGAAGAAGCGCGTCGAAATTGGGCCGAGGGGCCTGCCGGATTTGTCGGCCCTGTAGAGACCACCAAAAACGAAAAAAGGCCTGGCAGATTGTCAGAAAGGAGAGAAGATCTCAAGATCCCTAAAGTTCGTCCTTGATGGGCTTGGATGGTCAGCGGAGGAATTCACGGGGAGACTATGTATGGCTCCCCCTTCGACGGACGAATTCCAACAAATTGATTCGTTTTTCTACAACGTATTTGTATGGCTAGGCTGGACGGTCCACTCGAACAGTTTGTATGTCATGTACGGAGTACAAAGTGGACCTTTCGCTTGCTAGCTAACAGTAGCTATTCACGACTGAGTGATTATGGATAACCAATGTACGTACCTGGACTAATTGTCACTGATCCGGGGCTACGACGACCAGGGAATTGATCGAGTATGCCATGTTCAATCCTATTCTACAACACAAAGTCACGCTATCTTGAAATGCTCCTCGAAAAGTTTCCATCTAGCACTCGCTTGGTCAGACATCAGTAGCCACGGCTTGAGGAAATAGAGACCCTGTGTCTTGTCCTTCTTCCCTGTCATGAAGCTCAGTGCCGTCCGCACAGCCGTGGCATTGGGCGTGCGTCGGATACTTTCGAACAACGCCGTCTTCTCGACGTCACACAATTTCACCCAGATATATTCCAGCATCAGGGCCACCACACCTGCCGCAATCGGTGTTGACACCGACGTCCCACTGACCCGTTTCTCGCCGCTGGGCTCCAGATGCGTGGGCCAGGCCGAGAGCACATACTCACCCACCACGTTGAAGTAGGTCGAGTACGTCTTCGGGTCTGGTTTGTCCGGGTTGAACTCCGATGCCCGTCCACCGCCGTTCGCCGACCGAATCGAGATGACCTTGACATTGGACGCAGGATAACTATCTCCTTCGCTCTTGATCTTACCGCCGTTGGAAGCCGCCGCCACCATGATCACTCCCTTCGCGTTGGCCACGTCAATAGCCTCAGCCATGTCGTCGATCACGTCGTCAAATCCAAAGGACATACTAATGATGTCGACCCCCCAGTCCTCGACCGCATATTTAATCGCCTGTACAGTTAAGCATATCCAACACCCTTAAGGGAGAAAACAAACCTGTGTAATAGCGACCGGGTCCGCCTCAAAAAACACACCGTTCGTTACTTGTGCCACGTATATGTCCGCAAATGGAGTCACTTTCAAAATCAGCCCAGCCGCGTGCGTGCCGTGTCCGTGTTCATCCTTCATTGACCTCACGTCTTCCCCATAGACCTTGTCATTTGCCCATGAGCGCAGTCCTTTGATGCGATTCGATGATCCGCGGAGCTGAGGGTTGGTAGCCACGACGGCCTTTGTCCGGGGGGGCCGTTCAGCATCGATGCCCGTGTCGAGGATGGCAATCTTGATCGGCTTGTCTCGTAGACGGGTCACACCCAGCCCTACGAAGTGGGAGTGTGTCTTGCGCTGGAGGGTTTCTAACCAGTCGTCGGCGCCAGCCCATCTGTTCGGGTTAACAACAGTTTGACATTCTTTTTGGGGCCACACATGACCTACTTGGAAGCGTCGTCCGCCATCAGGCTGCGTTCGCAGTCTAGAAATTGCCCCGATTGACACAATACCGACACCAACCGATCATTGGCGCCCCAAACGCCGCTATGAGCTGGAGGGTCATTTCTCTGCACAGGGCCCCCCAAACCCAGAAACTGGTTGTGAGCGGCCTGTATGCCATCGGAAGTGATGCGAATTTGAAATGATGCCGAAAGAAGCTGGCTCAGAGGCCCGCATATCTTGTCTTTGATCCATTGCTGAATCTCAGTCGGGTCACCGCCCGCGGACCTACAGTCATAGCATGCCCAGATTGCCTGTTGGTAGGGTGCGAATGTTCTCGAGAGGAGATCAGATCGAAGCACCCTTTCCAGCAACGAAATGCAGGGAGTTCGGTCAAGCGCGATTTCCGAAACTTGATTCCCTGGAACCATGAGCTGCGCCAACTCTTGAATAGGTTTGCCCAACTCGAGCTCGACGAGAAGGACCCCAAGATCCACAAGAACAGGGCAAGGATGCTGGACATCATAGTAATCACCCTCTCCGGTGTGCTCATCGAGATCTGATTTAAGGTAAAGCTGGACCACGCAGTCAGTGGGTGAATTCTCCCGCCCCGACAATGCCAAACACAATCTCTCCTTGACCCACTGTCGCTGTGCCCACGGCGAGGCACAGAGATACAAGACGGCTGTCGCGAGTATGTTTGCTAACACCAGCCGCTCCTTGATATTCTGTCTCAGATCCAAGAAAGCATCACTACCGGTGTCATTCAGAATCGAGGAAAGAGGTATTAGTCGGTCCACGCTAAAGTCGGCCAGTCTCCTCAAACTGCCGCGGAGATGGACTTCAGTTCGTTGTCTCCGTGCCAGTAAGTATATCATTTGAGTGTCTCGTTGACAGGCAAGCATGAGCCGGCACAGTGAGCCGGGCTGGACTGGAATATCTCGATAACTGGCTTCATCTGCCTCCCAATCCGTACTTAATCCAGACTCAGACCCAGTATGCACCGTGCCTGTCAAGGGATGATCTGCATGCTCGGCAGGGTTTGTCACAGCCAAGTCGAATTGGACTTGTGCCGGACGTCTAACTCAAGAACGTTAACTTCAACGTGACTGGGGAGTGAGTTGGTAGTCGACCTACCTCTCCAACCGGATTTGGGCCTGTGTCCATGAGTCAAGGCTGTTGCGAGAGAATAATAGCTTCATGTGGAACGCCCGATAGGCACTGATATCTCTCTCCGTGTAAAAGGATGTGAGGCGAAGCAAAGCGCCGTGTCGCGTCCAACAAGAGCATGGCCAGCGCGTTGCCATGGCCCTGTGGAGGGCTTGGATTTCATAAGTGAGGTCAGGAGCCTGGTCCTCTGTCTCCTGGTTGCTAGCTGGACCTTGCTCCGCTGCTTCAGACGGCTGTGTTCCAGCCTGCCACGATGCATACGTGGGTAATTCGCCTTGTCGCATGACGATACGACCAAGGCTGGCAAGGCAGTTGTCGACATGGCGAAGAAGCTTAGCCCGATGGTCCTTCAGTACGGCTGCCGACATTCGACGCAGGCCACAGCTGTCACTCGACGTGGTTGCAGACACAGCCCTCAGGGTTTGGAGCTTTGGAAATGGATGCGCAATGTCAACTGTGCCTGTAGTCTATGTTCAAGCATTCTTAGGTGCGTGACTCTTGAAGTTTTTGGTGCTCGTCGCTCACCCTCGCCATGCGCTCGAGACGCAGCAACAACTTTTCCACCGCCTGAGATAGCCCGTGGCCGGCGAGTTGTCCCAAGACCGAGTCATGGCGTTCCCCCAACCCGCCAAGTATCTCGTGGATTGCCACCAGATTAGCCGTGAGATATCCGTAGAATGTCCGTAGTTTGGGCTTTTCTTTCCAGAGTGAGCCTTGTACCCGGGCAGCAGCGACGAACTTGGGAAGGACAGCGAGCGCTAGATCTATTAGAACTCGGGGCGAGGCTGACATGTTATGTTGGTAGATATCGTCTTCGGTAGAGTCAAGCCAGAAGTGACTATGAGCAGGATGGCAAGTTGCAAGTCACAGGAAGTTCGCGTTTTTGCTTGGTGAGGCTGAAGCCTGAGCGAGGATAAAGTCAGTACGAGGTACACCCGCACGTGAGGCCATGATGGATGGTGGAGGGGCAAGACGAGGGGCTGGTTGCATGGGTTATAAGCGAATGCCTTGAGATACTAACGCAATAGCTCCTAGGCCTAGCCAGCTGGCCATCACTATGGGAGAGCCTCAACAGTCTCCTCCCTGATCCTTGGTTGAGAAGTGTCCTTGTCATCTTCAATCCAGGTCAATACGGCGGCTGAAGCATCGACCTTGGAGACTGATAGAATGTCGATATTTCAAGCTTCCAAAGACTGTGAGGCCCTTCTCGAACAATGCCTTCGACTACCCGACATCTTTAACAACAAATGGGCACTGAACCAATCTGCAAGTTTCAGGCTATGGGTCGAATCCATCGGGGCCTTTGCGCCGCGGTCTGCATCTGCCGATGCCCGCCTACAAGGCAATGAGAATATGAAAGCAGCGGTGATGGATTTGTTAGATCTGTTGCAGTTGAACCTTCGTCAAAGTATGCAGCCTCATCTTCTTTTGTTTTCCGATCCCATATGTAATGTAGAGCTTTGCGATATCAGGCACCCCGGGATAAACAATCGGTGGAGATGCTAATAGTGCTCGGGAGCCAGCAATCGAAGCGTGCCAGGATCCGGCATTCATACAAAGCGTATCAGAGGAGCAGTCGCAGTCAAATCGCCAGGCTCTTGCGGAAGCGCTGTCGTCGTCGGGGTCAGATGATGAAGATGAGGTAGAGATGGAAGAGGTTTCCTCGCCTCAGGTCAGCGATCGAGACGATGGCGACAACTCAACCACGACGTCTCAGTCGCGACCTGATCAAGAAGTTGAGAATGTGTTGTTCCGCCTCCACCAGCTGCTCCTGGCCATTCGCAGCTCTCGTAGATTCGACTGGCGTGAGCGAGCGAGCAGATTCGTCTACCCAGGCTCAGAGGACTTCAGAAAGCATATGGAGTGGTATATCAGCGAACGATTCCAACGCGAGTATCCTGAAGTGCCGGAATTCATACGAACGCGTCTGTTGTTGGCCAACGTGAAGCGACGCAACCAGTTCGAATATGCGCGAGAACATGCCTTCAAACTTGCCAAAGACAAGACACGCCCCTCCACTGACCAACATTCGGCAAGTATTGCAATCGAAGATGAAACAGCTGACAACCAGCCTCCAGTCGCCCCTTCTCACAAAGATGCGTCCCATTCACGAGCTGATGCGCCATCCCAAGCACCATCCAAGTCTATGCCGAGTACGCTGGCGACAGACTACACCGGTGCCTCATTCGAAAGATCCGAGAGTGGAACAGCTACAATCTCCAGCGGGAGGACATTCAAGGATGGACAGGCCACTTGGCCATCACCACCAAAGGCCCCTTCCATCAACCCTGCCTTGGCGTCCTTTCCCTGCCCATACTGTCGCCGTCCACTACCAACAGAATATAGTAGCGACTCAAAGAAGTGGAGGTCAGCTCACTGCCTGAGACAGGGTCCACTTCCCAGACACAACGCTGACGATGTTCCACAGGCAACATGTAAAGAATGACATTCAGCCGTATGTTTGTCTGTTCGAAGAATGCGCCACCCCTCTCAAGCTCTATTCGAGGAGTGCCGATTGGCTCCTTCACATGCGCAACACCCACGGTGAGATCCAATATGCCTGTTTGGCGCCGAAACATGACCATGAGTGTGTCTACTTCAGAACGCCAGAAAGCTACAGAAACCACTTGACGCAGTCTCACGCAAAGACCTTTGTCGAAAACGAACTCGGAGACCTCCTTGTCCGTAGCATGTGCCGGACGCCGCTCGACCCGATCTTCCGTGAATGTCCCATCTGCCCGGGACCAGAAAAAAAGTCGATTTTGTACAAGAGAAAGCAACTAGGGAGTTTGCTGTCGCTGCCGCAATCACCTGCAAAGCGTAAAAAATTAGAAGACGCTTTGACATTGCGATTGAAAGCGGTTAGAATGCGGAAGAGTGCCGCCATGGATGAGGGGTTGGAGGGGAAAGAGGAGGAGGAAGACGACGACAATGATACACACAGACACCGACACTCAGAAGAGGCACGGCTTCTACGCCATATCATGGCCCATCTCCAATTCATTGCCTTGATGGCGCTGCCATGGTCAGAAGAGCTTGGATCAGCCCAATCCTCATCAGTGTCAATGGGCCAGGGACTGGAGCACTTAGACGACAAGATAGATCCCAAAGATCATGAAGGTCCGGTGGACGTTGAGGTTGAACACCATGCCGACGATCCAACATACCACGACGGCATCATGCTCTCTTCGGAATGGGAGTTCATTAACAGCGACAGTAATCCCGCCTTTTCAGTCTCCAATCATGGAAGCTCCCCTCTACCACCCCCCCGAACACCACCGGATGCTTTGGTTAGCGATGCAGGCTTATCAATCTATATCGCATCTCAAAATCTAGTCGAGAACCAAATGCCCAAGCGTCGGTCGAGCTATATTCGGGAGATGGAAGATCGCACAACGACGGGTACTGACGGGCGGAAACACTGGGAGATTTTCCCAGCAAAGGAACAAGGTCCTCGTCGGAGAGACTATACGATAGCTTGGATATGCTCTCACTCGCTCGATTTTCGCGTTGCCACCGCCTTGTTAGACACAAAGCACCACAACTTCCCCAGACATCAATCCGATCCAGCCAACTACGTGCTGGGCACAATTGGTCGCTGGAAGGTCGTGGTTGCCTGTCATGATCCTCAGACTGCCCGGGGTCCTTTGATTGTGGATCTGTGCTGGGGCTTTCCCAAGATCGAGCTCTTCTTGTCCGTTGGAGTTTGCAGCGCTAATCCGTTACGCCACGTTTTCCTTGGAGACGTGGTCGTCGATACAAGGAGCCCGGACTTGACATCACTAAGACTTGGCGAGCTAGTCCTGAGGACGGGTTCACGTCGGATCCACGTTGCCTCGGGCACAAAATCTCTTGGGGATATCGACGTCAAGAGCGTCATGTCAAGCTTTGAACATGCGGAACCCGCCTTGAGAGCGTTTGCCATCTATCCTGGACACGAGCGAGACCTTGCTTTCCGTAGAGAGTACCAGCATGTAGGAAATCATCCGAGTTGCAACTTTTGCGACCCGAGCCAACAGTTGATCTCGCGAGACAGGCTCCCTGGTCGCACTCCCCCAGGTATTCACTATGGCGATATTGCGTTCACGAAACGCCCCGTTGTAGACCCTCGTGGACAACCATTTTTCGAGTCAGAGCCCGTATTGTTTGCCATAGATGCAAATGCGCAGGACCTCTACACGACCCTCGCCGCCCAGCCTCTTCTGGTTATTCGTGGGATTGGCGATTATGCTGACTCTCACAAACAATCGATTTGGAAGAATTATGCTTCCACAGCTGCTGGTGCATTCGCCAAGGCACTTTTACTCCAACTGGTTGATATCAAGCCCGACATGCTCCCAAAGGGGTGGAGGGGCACGATGAAACCTCCAAAACCACCAAAACCAATATCCCCTTGGATACAAGGGTAAATACGCAACCGGCACCATTAGCGAGCACAAAGTTGTCCTGCAGCTGCTGGGAAACCCCGAAACCCCTGGTCAACCGTCATTGCTTTTGAGAAGCTTTCCAGCTGTCGAAGTCGCGTTCCTTGTAGGAGTCTGCGGCGCTTCTACCAAGGGGTGCTAGATATCACTCGGCGACGTTTTGATCTGTTGGCGAATGGTGGAAATTGACTTCAGCTGGAATAGTCTTGAATGTGTCATTGACCTGAATGATGGAATTGACGAGGGGTACCAGCGAGCGACCATGGATATTCGAGCGGCCATTTCAAATCTTGAGCGAATTTACAATCGACAGCTTCCGGAGGCTAAAATGGATGGTTATCTGCGGAATTTACACTGTGGACATGGAATACACACACCCTGGCAGTCAGTTTGACAGGCTGTATACGCCTTTGTACCGGCACAAACATCGTTCACCTCGCTCCTGCCTCATCTGCGGCGCTGGCGAGAGCAGGATATGCGATGACGCGAGAAACGAGTCGTGTGAGGATGTGGGCTGCGAAAACACAGCGCTTCAGGAACTGATCATGCTACCAGGGGAGAGTGGTGACGGCGATGAGGGCGATGGCGCGGGTGCCGACCGCATTCCGCGTGTTCATCCGGGTGTAATAGCATTTGGGAATCACAGGCTATCATCAGCGCGCCAACGCGATGAGATTGCCGACAAATTCAAGGTCAGCGCCTTCAACACCCACGACATCGGATTCCGGCAACAAGTACCCAAGGTCGTGATCAAAGGGGCCTGCGATTATGCCGATGGCCACCGGAACGACAGGTTTGAGAAATATGCGGCCGCCTCGGCGGCAGCTTGCTTGAAAGCCTTCCTCGTTGAAATGCCTTGACGTGCCTCAGGTGGCAGGTTCGCCTAGTTGGCCGGGCCCGTTTTGAGTGAGCTGGAGGCAGAGAGGGAGATATTGAGTGATTTGAGGAAGTCGTAGGGAAGAAAAAGAAATGGACCTCCTGCTTAGCTATTGAGAAACAGACACTTGATTGGAAACAAAACCGTGTATGGAAATGCTTCGGAAGGAATATATCTCATGACTACTTTGCTTACCTTTGATATAAGAATCGAACAGACCACATCGAACAAGACACTTGAGAAAATACTCACCGATGATGATCCATGTATATACTCGGTCTGGACAAAGCGAAGTCGTTTTAGAGTTTTTTCTTTCCCCTTTCTAGGTTCATTGCTCATTTTTTCATGACGCACTGTTTCTCTATTAGGTATGTGTGGCTGTGGGGAAAAAATGAGAGTTGATGATGAGAGGCCGCAGGACTATGTAGAAGGAAGGCTAGAAGGAATGGTTTACATGCACTCCTGGTGATGGCCATGCAAGTGAAACGCTAGTGGATACGGAGGTAGACGTGCGTGTACGAGGTATATCCCGAGTACTGCTCTATGAACGTCGTATGGGGGAATCAATGAAAGGTAACTCGTCCCGTTTTACTTTTGTAATTCCAGAATGCTGTGGCATGAATGAATGAGTGAATGATGCATTGGACAAATGTACATTTGTTTTCCCTCGAATGTATATACCTACACCTACACCTACACCTACCTACCTGGTACCTAGTGCTTAATCCCACCGCCTTATTTTTTGTGCGCATCGGGCCTGATTACCACCTCCTTGGCCTCGCTGGCGCATTATATCCCAGTATCCCAAGGGAACTCAAGAGACCAAAATCGAAACACAGTCCACCTCCCAACGCCTGCAAAATGCCCATTTTCCATGTCGTCTTTATCTGTCATCCATCTATGTCTGCTGGCTAATACGCGCCGTATGCTTTCTGGGGTCGTAATGCCGTCCGGGGCATCCTCGACGGCCCGATGTCAATCCTGCTCAATTCAAGCGCCAGCGAACTCTCTCCATCATATGACGGGCCACCGCCGTACCCGCCACTCTCCGGCAGTGACCCTCCCATGGGCGGATTTGCGGGCAAAGGAGAATATTCTAGTTGATATTGAGGTCCCGGTGGTGGTCCGTATCCACCATGGGGGCTGTAACTGCTCGCAGACGGAGCCTGGTATTCCGGTGCTGGAGATCGCTGAAGTGAACCGCTTCCAGGAGAAGAGTGAATCGTATACCGCTGGTTCGAGGGACTAGCCCGCTCACTTGAGGCGCCATTTTGAGCAACAGGGCCTGCCTGAGGGTTCGGGTATGGTTGAGTCGGGAGAGGTCGGTTTGGCATCTGTTTCCGCAGCCTGTTTCGGCCACTGGGAGTTTCGACTTGAGGGGAAGCGGGAGCCGTGGATGGAGGGGTCGATGTCTGATACGATGAAGACATCGGAGCGTTTGGAGAGCCTTGATAAGGCGACGCCGCAATCGAGTGTGGCCGAGCTGAGGCGGGCGATGATCCTGTACGATTGTGCGCCCGGACTTCCTCTCTTGTGCGAATCCTGATGACATGCTCTGGTTTTCGCTGTTTTCTTTCAGGTTCGGGCGCCCATGTATCAGAAGGGAGATGGTCCGAGGGATCAATCACTCGGCCATCATTCCCGATAATTGGGCCTTGATCCCTAAGTTTGTCGGCGGCTTTCTGTCGAGCCATCTCTACCGAATCTTCTGGGGCATTGAATGCAACGTCGACTGATGTTGAACCAGTGGCGGGATTCAACACATCGTACGATCCAGGCCCAAATGGAACACTGGATATCTGGTTGCGATCATCGCTGTTTGGGAACGTTGGGGTAATGGACTTCCGGGGGATGCTGTGGTTAGAATTAGGGGTGATTGGCCGGGGGCGAACGACCACCGGAGCGGATCTTCGGACGTGTCTATCATCCTGCAATTCAAAGTTGTCGAATGTTTGTGCCCGCCGCAGAGGTTCGTTACCTACTGATCGCCGGAAATGCTCTTGGAAATTTTCCCCTTCGCGTTGTTTGTCGAAATTGGGATCGCGACTCTGTTCAGGAGCTGGCATGCCACTTTCGCTAGAGATTGGTTGAAGTTGATTTATATCACCGTTGTAGGATTTTCGCTTGTCAGATGGGAACAAGGGATATCGATCGAGGTCCATTGCCGGCGGCGGACTTGGCTCATAGGATTGCGGCGAGGGAATATGATGTTGTATTTCTTGCGAAGGGCCCGCTTGGAATGGATCATAGTCACGCTCGAGCCTCTGGAGAGGGCTTCTGCCTTCGAGGCTTTTCATCTTGACAGGTGTGTGGGGTGAAGGTTCTCCATACGAGTCTCCGTAACTCAACGACGATGCCGGCACCCTCGTCATCGTACCTCGGTGAGCAGGAGGTGGCGGTGGTGATCCATCTTCATCGAACCGTGGATCGGAGTACATCGGAGCGACTCCAGGCATATCATTTGGATTGATGGATTGGCGGAGTGGACTGTCCCGGTAAGTGGCATATTTGGTGGGAGACGCGCTGCCCCTGCCGTTCCACTGCTGGCTCTGCATTCCTGGTGGCGTACCCTGGGGCGTCATTCGGGGCGGAGAGGAATGATACGGGGCTTGATCCAGCATATCGTATGGCGAGTGTGGTGCCGACGAGGAATGATGGTCTGGTGGTGGGGGTGGCCCTGGCACAGCCTGTGATAATTGGGTTTGCGACAAAAGTCCTGGTTGCTGGTAGGAGTCCACCGCATAGGGGTCTTGCTCCCCGTACCCCGCCATAGGATCGTTGTGACTGTTGTAGTACTTATCAGAGGATTGACTCTGCTGGTAAGGTGAGCCGGAGCCCTGAAGCAGTTCGTCAGGGTCAGGGCCGAATCGAGGGTTGAGAGAATATCCAACATCGTCTGGAGTCTCGGGAACAAATCGTTGTTTTGGTGGACGCGGCGGAGGGTTGCTATTCGTATACCCATGGCCCGGAAATGCATCTGGTGACTCTTCCCGAGACCATCGCTCGACACTTCCAGCGGTGGAAACACCTGAATGCCCACCAGGACCAAGTGGAAGAGGTCTCCTCTTGATCTCACGGGGACCGAGTTGGCGAGAGCCAGAAGGTATGCTTGAAGCGTCACTGGCTATGGTATGAGATTTATCTCTTTGTTTCTGCTTCTCTCCTAGAGATTCCGGCTTTGGTCTTGTATCATAATATGTCAGCTCAATCCGGATGTCACCTGCATATTTCCCCTTGAAGTTCAATTGACGCCACTGGTCACTTTGTCCACCGCCGGGGATGATGACCTGTGTGAGATCTATCCAAGCTTCGCCAATGAGATCGGTCTTTTTGTCGTCGTTGAAGACAGAACATTTCAATTTGTAATAGTCAGGGGAGTCATGGACAGTAAATCGGAGTTCTTGGTCCCTGGTATCCGTCAGCGAGATGCCCGTGCGTTTTTCAGAATCTCCTCACCATCTGGGTGTTTGTCCCCCTCTTTTATCAGTTTCCGTCTTTTTGGCTTCTTTCCCGAGCCTCATAGCACAGTAAGGGTCTTGTTTGCCCATGGTCTTTCGATTCGGCAGGTTTTTTGCCCTGTCCACCACGGCGACGAGGGTGCCAATCTCGGGGCCATCGAGGGTCATGTCTGCAAATATTCCGGCAGCATGAGCGGCGTTGAGGGCTCTCGTTTTGGAGGCCATGTTGGTAAAGGTAGAGGAGACTAACTACCGTCCTGCGGTGTTGACACTGGGTTCTTGAGGTTGTTGTGAAGGCTGCGGCATTCGAGGCAGAAATAGTGGTTCTGGTTCTTCAAGGCCACATGGTGTCAGTTGCCGGGTAGAGAAAGACGTTAGAGATTGCGAGGGAGCTATCGAATGCTTCCCAAAGGAGATTTGCCGAGTGACAGTTTCTGAACGAAGGACAGGATTGAGTTTGTGTGGACAAAGGGAGCATTGAGACTCGAACGTATGTAAACCAGGCGCCAGCCACAGAATTTACGCGTGCAATTATGCAGAAGGCTGGGAAGTTTCCGAGGCGGCAGATGTGAGGGCATTAGGCGACAGATTGCTTCCTAATGATGATCAAGACACTCAATGTCCTATCTACATGAAGAATAGAGAGATTGAGTTCCCCTTCCAGATGCTACACCCTGATCAATTGATGGTTGATGGTATGCTGTCAATTCTGTCGTACCACAGCAAGCTGCATCAGCAGCCAATCAGATGGATTTTCAATTGTTTTGGAGGTGACGTCGATCTTGGAGTCGCCAAGCCCTGGATCCAATGTGCGCCATTCCATTTACGGTTAGTTAACCTGTCATTTTGCTGATCTGTTTGGGCCGTCTGGATCAATGGAGATGATATTTCACGGCTCCTGCTCATAGTTCGACTCTTTCGGTCGTCTCAATCTTCTCGGGATAGCTGAAGCCATGTTGCCGTCGGACCTCATCCATCACCTCCATGATCAACACACTTTCATCCAAGCTTTCATACCTACCCTCTTTACGTCCCTCCACAATGGCTCTCCCGGCTTCATCGGCCTCCCAAAACATTCCGTGGCCCTCGCCCTCTGCATTCATCGCATCTCCAAAACCGTTGAACCACCCACTTCCTTTACCTGGACCAGGTTGCGTCCATTCCTTGTCCTCCGTGGTACCGTCGGTGAGGATCAGCCTGGTCTTCGTTGGCCGGTATGCTGGTGGCCATACTTGTATTTCGCCCTTTGTGCCTTGAATCCGGACCGCAGGGCCAGAGGTGCCCTTTCCATCAATGTCACTTGATGTGCGCATACCCGTGGTTGCCACCGCGTGCATGTCGCCACCTTGTTCGGGGTCGCGAGGGAACGTAAGTATTATGGTGGTCGTCTCGTCAACGCCTGTTGGTGGATACTTAACCATACTAGAAACAACCTTTGGTGGTTGGCGGTTCGCGGGTGCTTGCGTGGTGTACAAAGTCTGAAAGACCCACGTGAGGCTGTAGATTCCCAGGTCTAGAAGAGCGCCACCCGCCAAATCTGGATTGACCATCCTGTGTTTGCCGTCGGCCCAGACCTTCTCCGGCTCGGAAGCGCGAGAATTGTCGGCAAATACTCTGACTACGTGACCCAATCTCCCAGAGCTGATTGCCTCACGTACGTAGACAGAGAGGGGGAAATAGCGTGTCCACACTGCCTCCATCAGGAACAGGTTCTTCTCTCTTGCCGTCTGGACGAGCTTCTTCGCTTGGGAGGCGTTGACAGTGAAGGCTTTCTCGCATAAGACGTTCTTGCCAGCCTCAAGGCATAGTAATGCGTTCTGGTAGTGGTGGGAATGAGGCGTAGCTATATACACAATGTCGATGTCCGGATTCTGCACCAGCTCCGCGTACGATCCATACGCTTTGGCGGTCGACGGAGCCTTGACCTCGTTCAAGAATTCCTGTGCGCGGGATGCGCTGGAGCTACTAGCCGCAGCAACCACAGTATGTCTGACATCGTGCACGCCACGAGTTGCGGGATCAACCAGAAGGTCTTTCGTGAATGTAATGGCAATACCTCCGGTAGCTGAGCCATTGTTAGCCAGTTGCACTTCGGCGCGGAACACGGCATCACTTGCCCAAAATGCCCCATCGGATCGTCTGAGGAGCCATGTTTCCAGTTCGAAAGTTTCTCTTGTCGCCAACTGGTAGAGGAATGACAGAAGTTGAAGGATTTTATCGCAAGAAAACCCTTGACCTCAGATGCCCCGCATATGAGATAATGTAAGAGAATCACGGCAACTTCCGGGGAAACTTTAGACCGACAGTGACCGTTCCGGGGCTCTTCAGGTTCTGTGGCGCAATATAGCCGAGATTCCACAATGTCCACTTTGGGTGGTTTTTGCAAGTACAACGAAAGGCTGAAATATGTCCACTTAGCCGAATTGCTGCGCAGCCATTAGCTCCAACATTCCCCTGGTTATCCCAGCTTGCTCTGCTCGATCGGTCTCTTCGTGGACACGGTCCCGCAGCTTTTTGAGGTGCTTTGCGAGAGCCTCGGATTCGGAGAGGTGCTTTGAGTATAGGTCCATGATGTTCATCGCAACTTCCACGCACAGGGAAACAAATGCCGTGCTGGAAATGTTCCTCCATATCCAGTGCAAGATGGGCTGGAGATCTGATTCCGTGCGGTCTTCGAGAGCAGCACGCAGTGCAGATCGATAGCGGAGAGTGTTCAATAAGGTGACAATTGTGAGCCTGTCAGCACCTTGCAGAGCAATGTCTAGCGCCTCCCGGTATCTGCCTTTGTGCAGTTCCTTTTCCCACAGAGTCAGCTTCTTCTGTTTCGGTCGCACATTTCCTTCGACGATGATGTCAGCATCTTCGCCCGCATAGTCGCGCCCTCTGAGCCGCTTTTCGAGTCCCCTTGGGCGTTTTTTGGCCTGCTTCTTGTCGTACTCTTCGATCGTCCCAGCAATCAGTGCTTCCATTTGTTTTTGTCTTTCCCGCTCTTTTACTTTTTGCTCCCCAGAGAGTCTTGTTCTGATGCTGAGCTGACCAGTGGACATCCCCACCACAACGTGCGTGTCTTCTCGAGAGTTTCCAGCCGTAACGACCGATGTTGAAAGGATGCCGGCGGGGTACTTGGAACCAGCAACGACGTTCCACCCCGTCGTTTCAAAGACTTTCAGATGTCCGTCTAGGCCTCCACTAACTACTCTTGATCCATTGGATGCCAGGCACAACGATGTGACTGTTTTTTGGTGGTTTTTGATCATCTGCAACGGTCGTCCTGCCACGATATCCAGCACTGCAATCTGGTTCTCGGCTGATGCCAGGATGGTGGTCCCAGATGGCATGCATAAGACATCTTCCACCGCGGCGACATGTTTGAATGTCATAACCGCCGCATTTGGCGTGCGAGGATCCCAGAGCCTGATCGTCTGATCATAACTGCCCGACACAAACAAATGGCTTGACTGTCCTGGTAGAAAGCCGCCCGTCCGCACGTAGTCCTGGTGGCCGCGAAAGGTCTCGACGCTACTCTCGCTTGGAAGATCCCACAGTCGGACCGTTCTGTCATCTCCGCAGCTCATCAACGCCGTGGTCTCCTTAGGACTCCATCGAACCGTGCGCACTGGTTGTTTCTGTTCTTTCCAGGTCTTCAAAATAGCTCTTGAATTGACATCAAACACCTGGATCGCACCAGTCTCATCGCCTGCCGCAAGGACTCGTCCATCGTATCGGGCTTCACCGCTGTAGGCAATATCGTCGAACCGTGTAATCGTCTTCAGAAGTTTTCGGGACTTGACAGAGTAAAGTTGCACCCGCGCACCAGTCGTGACAACAAAGAAATCGGAAGGAGTTTGGCCAACACTAACGGGCTGTGGCTGCGAAATATGTGTAATTGCATGCTTTGTCGGCGAGGAAATGTTCAGAGGAGATTTGAATGATCGCCAGTACGTCTGCTCCGGCGTCAGAGAAGAAGGCCGAGCAGGCAACTTGACCTGAGCAATTGGCTGGACATCGGCAGCCATTATGCTCGTTAGTGTCCAAGAAAGCTGGTTGTTCTGGACTGGCAGACTGGGTCGGTGTCGGGTCAAAATCTCATGGTTTTGATCAGCGCAGGTGAATTTTTTCTCCAACGAGATGTAGGCAAATCTAATCTTATCTTGGAGTGAAAGTTTCTTGCTCCACCCGCCTCGAGATCCGCTTCATTCAACAAACCTCGCCCACATGTTCTTTGTTCTATGTTGTATTGTTCCTACATCACTTAAGATGACCCTATGTGGACTACGCATTTTACATCCTCGTGGAATCTTCTGGTCTTCACTTTATAGATCCTGCTCACCCACGGGAAGCCATGAAGAGGACCTTAGGATGTTGTCACCATCGATCACGTCGGTGTATCGGTACGACGATACTTGGGAAGACCGTGCAGCCAAGCGTTCTACAAACTTTAGGTCTCAATGACTTAATCTACTGAAGAGTTTCAGAGTCTTCATGGGTATTTGTATTGGGCCATGGTTGGAATACGAAGAGCAAGCAAACAAAAAAAGAAGAGTTGGCGGGAAGTACAGGATCAAGACTCGGGTATCTGTGTAGGACAAGACGTCGAGGACAAACAAATGAAGATGGCGAGATGCTCATTATACAACCTGAACTGTCCGTACCAACACAAACATCTCGTTCTCTGCATTGCATATCTACCTTCATCCTCTAACAATCCATTCTTTGACCACTCGACAGTGCGACTCCCATCACTCCTTCCAGCAACTCGTTCTCTGTGCAGCTGTGCCTCAAGAAGCTATCCTGTCGCCTTCCATAACTTGGATACCAAGCTGATAAGCAGGTACAACTGTCTATCACAATGCTGCTCCAGTGAGTCTCTTGAGCACCGCACCTTCCCTGGGCTTCACCAGCTGCACTTGCTCTTTCGCATCAGCTTGCGTGGCATCTCTTTTCCTGCGCGTCTTTTTCCTTCTTCCCCCATAATCCACACCGTCTCTCGTTCTGTTCCTCTTCGTCCAGCATTTTATCATCCCAATCGCTTTATTGTTTCACGCTGTTAACCATCCTCTGAGCCGGATCGCTCTACAGCAGTATCTTCATCTTGCACCTTTTCCTTGTCACCACCATGGCACTATCCAAGGTCACTCGAGTCCCTGTTCTCCGCAACGCCGACTACAAGGCCAATGGTACCAAGTCTCTTGTCTGGCTCTACAACAAGTACAACATTACCCCAACCAGACCAGGTCCGTATCATCGTGATGAAAAGAATCGCCTCATGAAACGTCAGGACGATGGCTCTTCGACTGAAGTGTACGCCACCCTGTCTCTCCACCCTCTCCATTTGTCTAACCTAGTGGTAAAGCACTGCACAAGATCAGCAGAATGACGTCTACTATACTTGTCCAGTCACCATTGGCACTCCTGGCCAGAAACTTCAGGTGGTATGTTAGGAATCAAATCATACTCGGGAGTTTTATACTGACAAATACGAAGACCTTCGACTCTGGTTCGGCTGATTTTTGGGTACGTCTCATTCCCACATTTGTTGACACAATTGAACTAACCCTACCAAGGTCTGGTCCAGTCATCTCCCTGAAAGCACCAAGAAGAGTGGGACTGCATCCGGTGCTGCCATCTATGATCCCAACAAATCCTCCACCCAGAAGCCCATGGCCGGAAGCACCTGGCAGATCCGATATGGAGATGGCTCCTCGGCATCAGGAACAGTGGTTACAGATGTCGTCAAGGTCGGAGATATCACGATCGAAGGTCAAGCAGTCGAGATTGCCAGCCATATCTCCAGTTCTCTCACTACTCAGACTGCCTCGCAGGGCATTTTAGGCCTGGCCTTTGGCAATATCAATACAGTCACTCCCGTCCCGGTCAAAACTCCGCTTGACAACATGATTGCGCAAGAGGACATTCCCAATGACCAGGAGATTTTCACCTGCTACATGGGCTCTTACAAAGATGCCAAAGACCCCGACCATGGCAAATCGTTTTTCACATTCGGGGACATCGACAGTGAGGTGGTCCATGCGACTGGGGGTGAGATCTCTTACACGCCGGTCAACGACAGTAACGGATTCTGGGAGTTCGCTTCAGAATACGTCGTCATCAACGGGAAGAAAACCCCGTTACCAGGAAACACTGCCATTGCTGACACAGGCACAACCCTGATGATCATTGATGACGATCTTGTCGAAGAGATCTATTCTTCCATCCCAGGAGCGGCATATGACCAATCCCAGCAAGGCTGGCTGATTCCGTCTGATACCCCTCTTGAGCAGATCCCTGATGTCGCTTTCGCCGTTGGAGGGGTAGATATTGTTATCCAGAAGGAACACATTGCATTCGCCCCGCTCAAAAACACAGGAATGGTATTTGGCGGCATCCAAGGTCGAGGAAGATTGCCCTACAATATCTACGGTGATACCTTCTTGAAATGTGTATATGCGGTAAGTAGTCTGGGTCTGGATGTGACTTATGAGCTCTGATCACTAACACAATGCAGGTCTTCGATGCTGGGAAGAAGCAATTTGGCGTAGTCCAGAGGGTTGATCCTACTCAGAAGATTGCCTTTTAGATTTGCCGTTCAGGATGGTAAAGACTTTCGAGCACAATTGAACGGATGATGGTGGTGGTGAACGGCAATAAGCGACATACCTAGACACTATCAATATTCCTCGTGTCCTAAGGAGGGGGTTAGACAGAATCACTCGTAACGATAAACTATCCATCCTAGTTATTCACATTGCTCTGCTTCGACTCCCACTTTGGGCCTAAGATTATCAGAAGCTTACGTGTAGATCCATCCAGACTCGTTTCTTTCAGTTCATCAGGTCGATAGAGGCGGGCAAGGAAAGTGGACAACTCTGATAGGGAAACAATAGCCCTGGGTGTGCCTTCCTACAAATTTCTACTCGAGATGAAATGAGGTGCTTCCGGACGTTGTGGATTTAATCTTCGTTCAATACACCTATGTTGATGAACTTCACAATGAGAAAACTCGCAGTATCATTAGGACAAACCTTTCTCTTGTTGACCCTGTTCGGTCTCCTGATCTTGCAGGAACTACACAATCAACCTCTGATCGACAAGCTGCATGACAGTCTCCGTTTTGCCACAAATGGACTCAATCGAACGGCCACTGCATTCAGCACCTTGACTGAGCCAGTTCAGCCTCTGGCCTCGCCTTTGAGCTCGATACCTCCATCTACCGAAGCAAACTTGACCCAAGCCGAAGCTCAACATCTTGAGGAGGTTGATCACCTCACCCCTACATCCCTCCCTGCTCTCGTCAAGGTGCAGGAGCCTCAGGTCATGCAGATCGATTGCAAAGACAGAGTGGCGAATGGCGATTCATTCAATAAGGCTAGAAGCTATGTCGACTCAATCATGAATCGTGGTAATGAGGACGTGCCCCAGCTACAGTGCCCTTCGGTGAACGCCAGCAGATACCTCAGTCTCCATAATGCAGTCTCCTCTGATTCCAAACCGAGGTTTTACTTTGCAATGAATCTTCATCAGTCAGCTCATATCCTTCCACAACTTCTTGGGGCTATTGTAGAGATCGTTCGGCTTCTCGGTCCCCACGCCTGCGTCATCTCTGTGGTAGAAGGTAGATCAACCGATGGAACGTTTGAAATCTTGAAGAGCTTGGCAAAAGAGATGGAACATCTAGGAGTGTCCTACTTCCTGTCTTGCAACGAGCTGCAGCCTGGTGGAGAGGGCATGGAACGTATTTCCACCCTGGCCGAACTGCGTAACAGAGCTCTCTGGCCTCTGACCCAGCGTTCACAGTCGTATGACCCATCAACCACGATTGTCTTTCTGAATGACATTGCACCATGTGCCGAGGACATCTTGGAACTAGTTTATCAGCGAACGCTCCTGAAAGCAGACATGACCTGTGGCATGGATTGGTACAATTTGGATGACGGCGGCACCTTCTACGACTCGTGGATTGGAAGACAGATGAACGGCGAGACCTTCTTTGAGGTGCCTCAGAGTACGTCTTGGGATTTTTCCAAGAATCTGTTCTGGAACCACGAGACAAGCAAATCACGGTATCTGCAGGGGCAGCCCGTACAAGTCTTCTCCTGCTGGAACGGCGCTGTGGCTCTCACTGCCAGACCTTTCCTGGAGGGAAAGATCCGGTTCAGGACTGAGATAGAGAAGGAGTGTCACCTCGGAGAACCCGTTCACCTGGCCAAGGATCTATGGAGGCTTGGCCATGGCAAGATTGCGGTGATCCCGAGTGTCAATGTTGGCTATTCGGTTGATGACTCGAGGAAGGCCAAAGAGGCACATGGATGGGTGACCACTATAGCCGATGGGGCATCCATTGAGTTGAGAAAGATTGATTGGCAACAAAAGCCACCAGGTCAGATCAAATGCTTGGGGGCTTGGGACCGTCCCTCGTGGGAGCCTTTCGACATTATGAATGAGTGAATGCGGAGGGCTGCAAGTTTTACGGAATGAATGGTGTTGAAGGCAAGAATTATGTAGAAGATGACAAGGTATGAGGAATCGTGGGAATAAACTTTCAAAGGGCCAATAGCCAAAAAGGGGGCGTGCACAAGTAGAATCACAGAACAAAAACTATTACCTGTTGCGGTCTCGAACCCATGCACTTTGAGTGTTCTGATACCAAAAAATTTAATAAAATGCCGACGCATCAGGTCGAATTTGTATGGTCCAAAGATTGAGAAATGGAGTATATTGGGCGTAGCCACGGCCATCTCTGGTAAAAGGCAAGAAATGGATTCTGCTATAGCTCGTCCCACTCCAACTGAAATTTTTCGAGGGAGAAATATATATCCTGACATTTTTGAAGTGGACATCATCACGTGGGTGAGCTCCAAGATGGTCCCTTGCGCCTCGTTTCCTTCCCCCGCATCCCAATGCCCTAGCTCCGCAGCGCAAGCTCCGTCATCCCAAGCTCTCTCTCTGGTCTGGTGGTCGGTCGTGGGGCAAGGAAGATTGCAGAACGCAGGTAAATCGTTCTCCCCCGGAACATTTC